GGTGGTGCAGGCCCAGGGAAGCAGAGCGAGGTGAGGGCGGGGCCAGGACCAGAAGTGGTGCTCCTGGAGCCCAAGAAAGGGACTGGGTTGCTCTGGGTGAGAAGAGTCAGGAAGCAGTATTGGTTCCCCATGTGTCTGGGGCCCCAAGACTAGGAATGGCGCAGGGCTCAAACTAGGAGTATAGAACGGCGAGGCAAGGGGATGGAAGGGAGTGATTAATAATTTTTAATTATAAAATGACTATCTTATATAGAGAGCTCTTTTGATTCAATAAAACATAAATACAGGGAATTAAATGATGAACTGAAAATTTGCATATTTTCCTTTTTTCAATATAGTTTCATGAAGAATCACAGTAAGTGCCAAAATTGTATTCTAATGGGCCAATTTTGTATATCTTATATCTGCAAACTTTCTACAATTAGTTAAATGAATAATTATTTAACTTAATGATTTATTAATGAATATTTTTCTGAAGTAAATTAGAAAACGATATATTTATAAATGTAATTACTAATTTGCATATGCATTTTAAAAGAAATATGTCAATAACTTTAAAGAGTTTATGAGCACAAAAATTTAAGTACTATATACATTATATATTAAATTTCACATGATGAGTTGATCAATCATCTTATAGATTTTTAGTTAAATTTTTCTTAAAAATTTGATTTTTACAAATTTTACCTGCCCACATCTCCCCTTAGTGTTGCCCATATGGCCTATTGATTTAGATTTCTGTCTTCAAATTTCCTTTGTTGTTCATCCATTCAGTGGAGCCTTTTTAACCTACCCACAATGACACCCTTAAAGAATATTGACTCTTCCCATTTCTGTAGCTATTACCTGCCAGTACTTCCTCAGGTATTGTTGGGTTTTCTTACCCTTTTCTCCAAAACTATGCTGTGATTTTCGTCTGCCTTCAGCGTACATGCAACTTGTGCATGCTGACACCAGTTCCTATGTGGAACTGCCCAGTTATCTGGAAAACTGTTTACTTGGGGTCATTCACCAACTCTGGCTCTTAAAATCTTTCATACCCCTCTTTCAAAATGATATCTGGGTTTTGGGAGGCAGAAGTTTGATATTGGTGTGTATCTTCTTTACCTCTGCACTTTGGCCAGTCGTTGGTCCCTGTGTTAATCATCATCTACTGCATAAGGAAGCTTCTCTGGTGAGACTTAAGAGATGCATCAGTCTATGCCTATAACAATAAGTCATTAGAAATCAGTTTAATACTATTTGAATTTAGCAGAATAATAGCATAGTAGATGCTACCCTATGGCCTGTTCAGACATAGGGTCCTAGGCCTGATATCAAGTGTCAGGTATGGACTCCATCTTGTGAAGTGCATGTTAAATCCAATCAGAAATTATTTGGTTACTCCCATAACATTTTTGACACGTTTGCACTAGAGGGCATATCTTTCCAGGTCAGTTGTAGCGCTCATGAGTCACAGATGAACATGGTTGATGATCACTTTTCTGCTAGCATGAATAGCACATTCCAACACTATGAAAGCTAGGCAATATAGATGAGGCTTTTAAGTCAGTACATACTTGATTTCTCCTTGTTTGTTCTATAGCCCATGTAGGTAGTGTCTTCAGCAATAGGATCTTACTGCCAAGTTCTGGTGAGTAACAAAGTGCAGGGACAATGTCCTGTATTGCTTTAGGACAATGGGCTCTATCATTTTGTTGCTATGGAAATTATAAAATGCCAACTTTGCTATCATTAACAAATGTTTACAGCTTAAAAACAGGGAGTCCATTGGGCTTTTTATTTGCCAGCTTATGTGGTTGAGTAAGGGTAATTCCCCTTATTATATGGAAACTCTTGGTAATTTCTTTTTAGACTGATTATGTATATAATTTAGGAAGCTGTTATACTCACACCACTTAGGCTTGGGCAATTCACAGAGAATCTCTGTGTGTGACCAGTGTTGTAACTCTGCAAAAATCTCTGTCTGTTGAAAAACAAGCTACTTTGATGGGTGGTGACTGGGATACTTGTCTGAAATTTAAGGATCCATATTTTGCACATTGTAAGAAATTACATTTGTCTAGGTATATGAGAATGATAGGTTTCCAGATGAAATTTTCTATACAGTCTGTATTAACTTAGTTATTTCTCCCCATACTCTCTTCTCTTCCCTGCTCTCTGTTTTCTCATACCAGTTTTAAGGCACATGGCTATCATAACAAATCATTCTTCTGTTATAGAAATCTATAAAATCCTTATTATTTTGTATTGGAGTGCTATAGCTCTTTATGTGGTGATTTTCTGCCTTTCATTTGGGTATCTTCCATGGAAATATACTCAGTTACCTTTCTCATTCATAGTTTTGATGCCCACGAATAGAGAAGAACTTATTCTTGATCAAGACAATGGACCAACAATCAAAAAATTTCAAGGGGATAATAAAGGTAAAATGAAAATTGCTTATTTTAATATATGTATGAAGATCAAGCATGAATTAAGTATCCAAGTATTATATATCTTATCCACATTTCTCTAAATTAGAGTAGATTCATACAGGCTTTGCTTGGATAAATTACTTCGATCACGAAAATATGATGATTACTTACTGTTTTCTGTTTTGTATGGTAAATTACATATCGACCTGAATTTTGTATATACATCTGACTGAAAACATCACTCCACTCTCTTCTATTGTGCCTACTCAAGGGGTTTTATGTATTATATATGTAATTTGTTAAATATCTTTATATGACTCATGATTTGGAATTTATATTTACAAAAGGAGAATTGTCAAAGCAAAGAACTGCTCTCGCAACTCCCCCAAAAGAATTGTAAAAATATGTGATAATGTGGTCATTTCAAATTAAATCTTACCAGGTTAATCCACTTAGTATATATTCACAGAACAGATAGATGTGACCTCAAACAGGCTTATGATCTGCTGAGTTATATGTCTTAAAATATCTCTATAGAAGGTAGAGAGTAATAATATCAGTGATGCTCTCCTATAATGAAATATGGGAAGAAAAAACGTGATGTACTTTCTATCTCTATTAAAAAAACTCTCATAATATACAGAACACAGGATTCAGTGAGATGAAGAGTTAATGGATAATTTTCTTTTTCTTCTGAACTTGCATCATAATAACCTAGATGAGTATTTTAGCTGTAATTTGGAATACTGTATGATTTCAATTTTATTGATCCATGGTTTGTTTCATTGCCACGTGTTTAGTGTTTTCTTAGACAATGAAGGACTATATCTTGGATACCAACATACAGATGATTGATTGCAGAACAGTTTTCAGAATGAAAGAAGTCAGATACAGTATATTCCACGACTTTAACTCTTAGACAGGTAATGGAATTCTAGTTGCAGGTGAAACTTCATTCATAATCTAACAATTTATTTCTGAGTCCTTTTTTCCCATAAAGTTAGGACTATTGGAAGAACACCTTAGATGTAAAGCAGGGTTTTCTTTCAATAAAACTTCAATCTGTACATGATAAACATAATTCCCCTGGAACTTCAAACTCCATAATCTCACATGCCAGTAAGGACTGGTCTGCGTACGCCAGTTCTCAAGTGTACACTGATAAAGTTTATGAGAGCTCTGCCAGAACCCTGGCATATATGTACAGTAAGATGTACTGGCATTTCTGACACTTACTGTGAAATTACACAGCTAACCCATTTAAGTAAAATAATTTAGTTTTATATTGATGAGTACATCAATAGACAGTAGGAGTATATTAAACCATATCTCAGTTATAGTGGAAAGTTTTATTTTATATTTGAGTTTTAATGCCAACTTCTATCTATTGTATTTGATAGTAACAGAAAAATGTATTTTACTCAAATAGTTTTCAGTTATTGAAAGGGAACAAGAAATAGTGTGTCAATATTTATTCAATATGACAAGTAATCGGTTTATACTACTGTGGCAAGCATGTGTTTTCACATCTGTTTTGTATACTATCATCATGAGTTTAAAATGATTTATAGCAATGGAAATTATAAAATGTCAAGTTCGCTATTATTTAAAAATTTCAGATAATGAGGAAATGCTTCTATACTTTGTGTATTTCACTGATTTCTGCATTTTGCGAAACTGTGTTTTAGTGATCATAATAAATGTATCAAATGATTATTTGAATTTTCCATTGGATTTTAATATGCAGACGTGTAAAACTTATGTGAACTGGGCTCTCCTGGCAGTGTAGTCCATTTAGATTGCATCCAAAATGACTCACCAATCTTGCCACTTTTGATTTTAATGAAATGTTCTGACTAAATTGGCTGGTTAGTCAAATCCAGCCTTTCATTTAATCTTTTTGGCAGACTTTGCCAAAAAAATTAACGGAATCAATTGCTTTTTATTTCTGTTACATGGTCCTTAACAGTAAGTTTTGGGATGTTGAGCAGTACAGCTTTTGGGAGTATTAACTGTAGTTTACTGATGTAGAAGAAAAGGCACAAAGCTAAATCTTCTTTGGCATGTACTGGTTAATCCCAAATTTCCAGCAGTATTTAAAACTTGAATATTTTATATTTGACATCACATGAACGTTAAAATTTTTATGTGTAAAATGCCTAAACAACACTGATGATAGACTTGGTTACATGTAGAAACAGTGGATAATTAAATGTATTATATATCCTAAGACGTTAACCCACTGAAATAGCTTTTAAATCAATCCATGGAATAGTGCAAATGAGTATCTGATACTTTTAATTAATTTGAATATAAGACTAAACGTAGATTTCATTCAGGATAAAATGAGTCTCAAATTTGTTTTCATGTGAACGACAACAAATTTCATTAGGAGATTTGTGCAGTATATTGGATCTATAATAATATAAATAATTTTTTTACATTAAATGCATGTCTTTATTTCCTAGTCTTATGTGTTGAATTCAATATTAAAAATAGTCACACTTTAAACTATCCAGATATTTGTAAAGGGTTATTAGTTTTATTTAAATGATAAATATAATTTCTAAAAAACTTTTTTATTCTAAGTAATATGGACTATTATGTTGAGTGAACAAGAAATTATTTTTGTAAATAATCTTTATGAAGAACGTATGTTATATGAAGAAAAGTGAAAGACACATTTTTCTATTTGTGCGCAATTTGTGTGCATTTTATAATAAGTGATTCTAAACTAAAATTATTAAAACATGAAACATAATTTCCTGTATCTTCTCTACATTCCTTCATTTTTTTGTCTTTTTGAGACATGGTATCTCTGTAGCCCCAGCTGTTTTGGAATTCACTATGTAGACCAGGCAGGCCTAGAACTCACAAAGATCTGCCAGCCTCTGCCTCCCAAGTGCTGGGATTAAAGGTGTGAGCCACCATTATTTATAAATAGTTATAGATTTACAGTGCATTACCAGAAAGACAACAGATATACTCTTGGCAAAATTTAACCAATCGTTGCCTCTATCACTATAGCACAATATTAAAATAAGGAAAAAAAGTTTCTATGTTTACAAGAATTTATTCAATATTCACCAGGTTCACTTGCATTCATTCCTGTGCATATATTCTCCTATGGAATCATTACATGTTGGTTTACGCAACTACCATCATGATAAAATATAAGGTTGTTCTATAAAAAGAGAGGTATTTGTCCTGTTCCTTCTTGTCTCACCCAACTTCTTCCTTCCGTGATCCCTAATGAATATAAAACAGTAATCTGTTATCCATCTCTATAATTACATCATTTGAAAACACATGTAAATATAACCACATGAAGTGATTTTTAAATATTTTTCTTAAATTTCTTTGTATTTCATACAATACACCTTAATCATATTTAGACCCCTGCCCCATCTGCACCCCCATAGAATGCTCACTGAATATCAGGTATTCTGTCATATATGTTAAGATCCATCACAGGTATTGCCCCAGCCTTGATTGCCTCCCAGAGCTTAAAGGTAAAAACCTATTGCCGAAGACAGGACATATTTTGGACACAGGACTTGGATTAATGGAGATGGAACTGACTTGGAAGCCTCCTGCCTGAAGACTAGCTCTCATAACATCAGAAGATAATATACAGGCTGCTAAGGGAGAACATCTATCAATGACCCAAACCCAGCTTTAAAGCATAATATCCCATACAATGAATGACTATGACAACAAACTCTATCCATGTAGCAGTGGCACTTTTATCTTGGGGATAATCAACAGCTGTCTAAATGAACTTGAAATCTGCTTAATGAGAGAACAATTCTTGTGTGGTACTGTAAACATAGCCACATACACGTAGCTGGAGAGGACACAAAACCTAGAGAAAACTCTACCTCCATCACATCCCTAGAAAAATGTTACTTTTGATGTATGCTAAACATGGATCCTTATATTTACAGTGTACCTACCAGCACTCATAAAAGAAGCTTCTCTTTGTAACAGATGGAGACTACTAAAGAGTTTAACATGTGGATTTTAGAGACTATTATTCACTCACCTAATTCCCTTGATATCTGCCCAAATTGTTGTATATGTTCCTTTCCACTTTTTTTCTGATTACATAGTAACATAATATATGAACACTTATCCATCTTTCCATTGTAGAACATCTCATTGTTTTCAATTTTTGCCAATTATGAGTGAAATTTCCATGATAATATATTGATTTTGTGAATATACCTTCATTTCTCTAGAACAAACCATTAAGATTGTGATTATTGGGTGTTATTGTATATTTATGTTTAGTTTGGTATAAAACTTAAGATAGTTTATAGTATCTTGACGTTTTATATTTCCAATATCAGTATATGAATATTCCATCTTCTCCACATCATTTCCAATATTTCATCCTGCAGTTAGTTCATTTTTTACCTGTGACCATACTGGAGGTCTATACAATGATATTATAAAACTGATTGCAATTCACACACACATACACACACACACACACACACACACACATAAAATCTTTGTTAAAATATTTCTTATATTGTTTGTCCATTTTCTAATTGGATGGATTTCTTGCCATTGAATTTAAGAGTTCATGTTTTTTTGTTTCCGTGTTTGTTTAGTTATTTATTTTATTTTACGTATATGGGTGTTTTGTCTACTTGTATATAATTGCACATTGAGCATGCCAAGGCCAGAAGTGGATGTCAGATCCCCCAAAACTGGAGTTACAGAGTGTTGTTATCCCCCATATGAATGCTGGAATCTGAGCTTAGGTCCTCGGCAAGAGCAGTTAGTGCTCTTAACCAATGAGCCATCTCCAGATGCCTATTTGTTTTTTTGTTTTTTGTTTTTTGTTTTTTGTTTTTTGTTTTTTTTTTGAGACACAGTGTAACTATGTACCAGATTCTGGCCATACCCTTCTGTTCCTCCTACTGAAGCCTCCTCAGTGCTGGAACTACAGACATGTACCAGCATACCCCAGGTAATAGAGATATTTATAAATTTCAAAT